TGCCTTGGCTTCCAGAGAGGAATGCAGGTATGTGAGAACTCTGCCTTCCCTGCTTGAGAGTTTTAGCCTGGTGTCTTCCTGCTTCCGCTGGTGCCACCTCTCCAGCCCATTGTCTGCTGTACTGAGGGAGCCTTCTAAAGTGACATTCTGACCATGGCTTCTGCCAGCCTCCCTTGCCACCTTTGGCCTAGTATCTTTGCCTTCCATAAATATGAGGTTCTTCCTGGTCTGACTTTGCTTCTCTTTTAGCTTCCCATGTTATCATTCTTGCTAGGTTCCTTTTACGCTGACCCTGGGGGCGCCATACTTTCTTAACCAATACCACTGTCAACTGGAAAAAAAAAAAAAAAAAACGCAGTGTGACTGGTTGAGCAGACAGTCAACAATGGGGCTATGAGGAGGCCTATGTAAAACCTCTTCTTTTGTTTGTTTTGAGACACAATTTCTCTGTGTGGCCATGGCTGTCCTGGAACTTACTCTGTAGACCAGGCTGGCCTCCAAATCAAGAGATCTGCCTGCTTCTGCCTCCTGAGTACTGGGATTAAAGGTTTGGTCCCTACAAATCTGTTCTTAACTGAGAAGCTAAGAAGAGAGGATGAATATTGAAATCTTGCTACTGAGAACTGAGACACACTGTACAGGCCCAGAGTCCTAGTGCTTGGAAGGTTGAGGCAGGAGGCTTGAAAAGTACAAGGCTAGTCCAGCATATAAAGCAGGCTCAAGGCTAACTTAAATGATTCGGTGAGCTCCTATCTCAAAGTAAAAAAGTTGGGGATGTGGCTCAGTGGCAAAGTGTTTTCCTCGCCCTTGAAGGCCTTGCATCCGTCCCCATTGCTGAAAACATAAACAAAAGAAAAATGGGAATAAAACCGGACAAAGCTATAAGGACTGCCAGGGGTACAGCTGGACCATCTCAGCCATTGAAGCTAAGGCAAAACAAAAACAAAAACAAAAAACAAAGCATTCATTTCTGAAACAAGCTGAGTCAAGTCAGTGACTCTAAGAAACTTTCATGAGGTGGAAGTAGTCCCTAAACCCTGCAGTGACCCAGGGGCTTGGCGAACAGCTGAGCAAAGCCCCAGAGGCTCCATAGAGTTGCAGCACAGCATTTCAGCGTATCTGCCCCTGCAGTGAGCAGACCAGGCAAAAGGAAAGCAAGGTTTGATTTTACCAACTCAGTGCCTCTGACTCCACGCACACAAATTTCATATCAAAGAAGTCATCACACTGCGCTCTCAGTTCCCACACTCCCTCAAACAGCCTCCATCTGCCTTTCATATGCTGTGGTCCCTGTGCCTGGAACACATACTGGATGAGGCATCATGGGCCAGTAATTTAACCTCTTCATCCCCTTGTCAAAAGGAAGATGGATAATACTAATGGGGTGGGCATGATGGCTGACACCTGTCATCCCAGCACTCAGGAAGTAGAAGGAGCTGGAGTTCAAGTCAGGCCTTGGCTACAGAGGGAGTTTGAGGATAGCTTCGGCTACATGAGTAAATGTTTTGAAAGTAAACAAAGCCGAGTGGTCGGTCTTTGGCTAAAATATCTGAGAAGTGCATCTTTCTTTTCTCTGTCCCCTCCCAGAGAGTCCCTGCACAGGTCTGTGATCAGGGTTGCAAAAGGCCCTGCTGGAAAGGATTCTGTTCAAGTGGCAATGTCTGCCATCCCAGGCTGCCGAAGCCTGAGGACAGACGAGCATGAATTCGGGGCCAGCCTGCACTACATAGTGGACCTTTTCTCAAAATACAAGCAAGATGCTAGGCATGGTGAAAGCACACTTTTAATTCTAGCACTTGGGAAGCAGAGGAAGATGGATCTCTGTGAGTTCAAGGCCAGTCTGTTCTACATAGCAAGTCCTGGGACAGTCAGGATTCATAGTATGGAGGACCCTGTCTCAAAGAGACAAAAACAAGAGCAGGGTTAATCTTAGCACTCCAGAGACAAAGGCGGGTGGATCATTGAGTTGGAAGCCAGCCTGGTCTACAGAGCAAGTTCCAGGGCAGCCAGGGCTACACAGAGAAACCCTGCCTCAAAAACAAACAAACAAAAACAAAACAACTCCTCCCCCCAAAAGAAAGACTTTAAAAAATAAAATTTAAAAAATAGAAAAAAAAAAAAAAAAAAAAAGAGCAGAGCCGGCAAGATGACACAGCCAAGCCTGGTGACCATAATTTGATCCTTGAGACCCACATGGTAGAAGGAAAGAACCAAAAGTTGTCCTCTGACCTCCACACAAGTGTGGTGGCATACATATGCAGACCCACCCCTCTCTTATCCTATCCATACCCCACCCACCCACTTCTACTAATGCTACTCAGTCATAAAGCTGAAAGTCCAAATGGATTTGTGTGTGTGTGTGTGTGTGTGTGTGTGTGAGAGAGAGAGAGAGACAGAGACAGAGAGGCAGAGAGACAGAGTGTCTCAGTGCTAAGACCACTTGCTCTGGAAGCATGAGGACCAGAGTCCACAGCACCACATTAAAAAAAAAAAAATCAGGCCTGGGTTGTGCACACCCTAGCATTGTGGGTCAGAGACAGACAGATCGTGAGCACTCGCTGGTCAGGGAACCTAGCCAAAAGTCCAGCTTCAGGGCAAGTGAGAGACCCTGTCTCAGGGCCGGGGAGCAGGGAGTGATGGAGGAAGAAACTCAAGTGTCCTTGTCTGGCCTCCACAGCGATGTACACCTGCGCTCTCGAATGTACATGCCACACCACATTTAAGACAAATAGACCAGCAATCCTGTCAGGATTCACTGCACACTGGTTCCTGCTCTCGCCCGCTGCAGCAAGCTTTCCTCCCATGTCCTCCTGTTAATATCTACAAGAACTGGTGCAAAAGTCTCTCTAGGGGAAACGCTGCTCACAGGATTGAAGTCCCTGGGAAAGAAGACACCTTATCTTTCACCATTCCCTCTCCAAATTATCTGCATGTCCCCCTGCCCCTCTCTGGTCCTGTTCCTTCCAGAACCCTTAATTCTACTCTCTAAAGGACAAATTTCTATTGATCCTTCAAGAAAGGGTCCCATGGCACCTCCCTTTAGAGTCCTTCCTCTTCTCTCTTCTCTTCTTCCTCCTCCTTCCATTTCTTCTCCTCTTCCCTTCCTTCCTTCCTTCCTTCCTTCCTTCCTTCCTTCCTTCCTTCCTTCCTTCCTT